TATTGTTGTAGTCGTAGAATAAGTACAACTGTTGGTCACAGAAGTCTGATTGAAGGCCATTGGTCCCTTCCTGTCCCAGAGGCCACTTCTTCCTGAGGGGTAAAGAGGTGTCTGAGTTTTCTGAATGTGATTCTGTTTGTGTGACTCCCTGTGTTTTTCATTTCCAACCTTTTCTTCTTTCTTTTCTTTTGTCTTCCTTTCCTTCCTTTTCCTTTTCTTTTCCTTTCGTCTTTTTTTTCTTTCCCCTTTCCTTTCTCCTTTCTTCTTTGTCCTTTCTCCTGTCTTTCTCCTTTCTTTTCCAATAGGATCTTGCTCTGTCACCTAGGCTGGAGTGCAGTGGTATGATCATAACTCTACCTCCTGGGCTCAAACGATCCTCCTGCCTCTACCTCCTGGGCTCAAATGATCCTCCTGCCTCTACCTCCCAAGTAGCTGGGTCTACAGGCACATGCCACCATGCCTGGCTAATTAAAAAACAATTTTTTTTTCTGTAGAGATGAGGGTGTCACAGTGTTGCCCAGGCTGGTTCTCAGACTCCTGGTCTCAAGCAGTCCTCCTGCCTTGGCCTGCCAAAGTGTTGGGATTATAAGCATGAGCCACTACACCTGTGGTGGCCCCAACATTTTCTGAATGTGAATCCGTATGTGTGGGGTTCTCTGTGTTTTCCAGTCCTGACTTCATAATTAGCTGAAATTTGAACTTTCTGCATAGACCATTAGGGTACCTTTTAGTGTAGGCCCATAGTTGGCAACGATTCAACTAAATAGTCCTTAAAGTAATGTGTGTTGGCATTTACCATTCCTCACCGAAGTGACATCTTCCAATTCCTTTCTCTTTGCCCCATTTTTATTCTTCATTTGTTCTTTCTTTTCCCAAAGGCTTTTTTCTTTTTTTCCATTTTCTTTTTGGCTGTGGTGATACTTATAATTTAAGGATCCTAACAGTTTCTGTAGTACCTCACAGTGATAGTGACCTGAAAGAGTTATAGTTGCTTCCTAACATCTGACTTAACACATTTCTGAGAACAGACTGGGGAAAATCTGTAGCAACATCTGTAAAATACTTTTAGTTCCTTGGTGAAAAGGGGAAATATAAAGAAGCGGTTGGTTTTTAGAAGTTGACTAAGTCTGTGGTTTGAAATTTGTATGCCAATGATTTTAGTAAAGAAAAATACTTGATTTTCTTTGGAGGTTGCAGTGAGCCAAGATGGCGCCACTGCACTCCAGCTTGGGCAATAGAGCGAGACTCAGTCTCACCTTAGAGGTGAGGGGTGGGATTTGCCACAAAGAGCAAAATAATCAGTGTATTTTCTCAGAAATTCTCTTATTTTCTTGAGAACTTTAGTGTAAATACTAAATAAATGTTTTGAAATGATTTCAGATTACTTTCACTATCTGTCACTTTCATATAGAGATTACCCTATTGAAGCAGTTGTATGTAATGATTTTCTGTTATATAGATTTGAATGTAAGTTGGCGTATGCTAAGATAGTCCTCAGTTTATTTTATTAAAGATATCCTTTCTTTCAGACGTTTTCTTCTCTATACTACCTTATCTTAGTGAATGGCAACCAGTGTGACAAGCTTAAAACCCTTAAGGAACCTCTGTTTTTCCTCCTCTCTTCCTTCCCTTATCAGTTTTGTTATTATCTCAAGAGGAACTTCCTCTCTATCACAGCTTACTCCAGGCCCTAGTATGAACCAGTCACCTAGATGGCTTCATTAGCTTCTTACCTGGTTGCCCTTAATCAATCCAGCATTTTCTCCACATTGACGCTGGAATGATCTTATAAGCTATATTTCCTAAAGGACTACTGTACTTAAAAACCTCTGTACCTTTTTAAATCTACAGTACAGATTTTGTACCTTAACATGTTTTTTTTAATCAGATAAAATGTTATGCCTCTGCTATTGAGACATAAATGTTGTATTTCCTATGTTGAGAATTTTGTATTTTCTGTATTCCCATTAGTGAATAACATTTTGCTGATCTTTGCTTTCATCACTTACAGTAGTTTTTTCCAACTATGGAGCACCTTTAAATATGGAATTTGCTTTTTAAACTCCATATGCATCCTTCTTTCTTTCTCCATTTCAACTTAACTGGACAGTAGCTTGACATAGAGGACTGTCCGGACTCTACCTACTTGACCAGATTACTAACTACAGTAGTTTTGCAAATATTTACTAGAGCACTTTGTTGCTTATATTTATTAGGCAGACAAAGATAGAGTACATGTATTAGTCCATTTTCACACTGCTGTAAAGAACAAACCAAGACTGGGTAATTTATAAAGGAAAGAGGTTTAATTGACTCAAGTTCCACATGCTGGTTTATTCAAGAATTACTGAATGAATACCTACTGTTCACCCACTGTGTAGGGAAAAGATAGATGAGGAAAAGTATAATGGGATAAAGAAGAATCTTATTTAATAAATCAAATGATTTCAACAAAAGGGATCACTGGTAAATTGGGCACACCTTCTGGTTTTCACCTGACGAAAATAATTTTTCTGTGGCCGTTCATCTTAGTTCAACAAACATTTATTGTGTCAGACACTACGAGCTGTTAGGAGATATTCGTGCGTAAATGAAAGACAGTCTTTGCCCTGGGCTATGTTAGTCTTTAGTGGAAAAGACAGATACGTGAACAGAGGCTTTCATTATAATTTAGGAATTGCTTTAATAGTGGTGGAAGGGGCAGATTTAAAAATATTTAGGTGATAAAAATCATAGGAATTGGTGATTGATGGAATGTTGGGGATTGAGAAGAAGTCATAGGATGATTCACGGATTTCCAGTGTGGGTGACTTGATAAGGATGGAGGATTAACATTAACTCACATCCAAAATACAGAATTAGAAACCTATTTGTGAGGGGTGAGGGGGAAATCAGTTTTGCTTTCAGTATGTATAACATGGCTCCGACACATCTAGTGGAGACAGTATAGCATAGTAGGAAGGTGTTTTGGCTTGGGAATCAGATCACGTAGGTTTATGACTAAGCTATACCACTAGCTGCTTCTCGCTGTGTGACTTTGAGATGACTAACCAACCTCACCAAGTCCCAGTTTCTGTGGGGACAGTACTAGTACATACTATATAGGAGTTGTCAAAATTAAAAGAAATAATGTATGGTAAGCACTTGTCACACCAATAGGCATATAATGAGACCTCACTAGTATGTCAGGAAATACTATCTGTGTAGCAGACAGTATGAACTCAGGAGAGAGGGGAGCTGTATGTACAATTTTGGGAGTCATTAACATATAGGCTTACGTAATGACAGTAGGTAAGTTTCCTATAGAGAATGGACACCTGAGGAAGAGTAATAGTGGACAGGGGATGGACAGAAGAGGAATAAAATCCAAATGAAAAGTGGTGTGATTATTTTCCATGTATAGAAGCTTTGTAGATACTTATGCCTCATAGAGAAGTTACAATGTGAGATTTATAATTGGAGCACAACCAGGAATATTTATGATCTTCAAAAAATCCACAAATTTAAAATTTCACGTGGATTTCTTTTTAAAGCAAACTTCCTATTTAATTAAATAGTAATAAAATCAGCCCCTCCCCACTTTTAAACTACTTGCCAGTAGACTTTTTAATTTTTTCTGAGAAGCTATTTGAAACTCTACTGAATGATGTGGACACAGATTATTTGCTTGAGTAGTGTTGATACTTTATGGTAACCTTTATTTCCATGTATATTCATCAGTTGTCTTCTTGTTAGAGCCTTAAAAACTTTGTTTTAATAGCTTAGGAAATGATATGGTTTGGCTCTGTGTCTCCACCCAGAAAGATAGGTGAGATCTATATTGCAGTAATTGCTCAGTGTTGGTTGGCCACAGTGCCCTTTCCAGCCAAGTCACGCACAATGAAGAGGAGTAAACAGTAGTTCATCCCATTTGTCTTAAAAGGTGTTTAAGTTTGGATTCGCAGTGTGTGGTAAACTGAAGCTAGATTTTTATTTAAGGAAGAAATGGTCCTAAACAATGAAATAAATGTTGACCTCTAAGAGAAATCTTTATTCAGGTTTATAAGTAGAAAACCTTCCTCTCTCCTCTCCTGCCCTCCCCTCCCCTCCCCTCCTTTCCTCTTCTTTTCTGAGACAGAGTTT